TATATATATATATATATATATATATATAGACTTAGACTTAGACTTAGACTTGACTTTATTAATCCCTTGGGATTACTCCCTTCGGGAAATTGTATTTCCAGTAGCAGGAAAAATTGCACATACAAGAAAATAGAGGATGTTTATATATATATATATATATATATATATATATATATATATATATATATATATATATATATATATATATATATATATATAAAGAGTGAAAAATACCTTTTATCCGTTCCTCCAAAACCTTAAGTTATGATGATGTATAATTGTTTTGTTTTGTTTATAACTACACAAGAATCATGTTTTTTTTTTTTTGCCTTTGGATCCATCAGGTGAGTGAAACAATGCAGCTGATTTCTACCGAGGCATAAACGTCTAGAAACAGGCAGCACCTTAACTTATCCTGCATAGTTTACAGAGTAGAGTTTTGCACAAAAGATGAAACTATTAAAATGTTAGGTCATTGGCATTGTTAGTGACATGTTGCATTTGTTTGGATACAGTTTTAAATTGATTAATGTTATGTGTCTTCATATCCTATTTAAGGTGGACCTCAACGAGTAAGCATAAGTGCTAAATGGTTTGATTTAAAATCTTTTTTTGAAATATTACTAATCATTCTCTCCAACAAAAATCAATTCACACTTAATCATCGCTGTTATGTGTAATTTAAACCACACTCCTTTAAATAACACTTTTGATTTCATCTAACATTGAATTGTGATCCTTATATTAATAAGTGTTCTGCCTGTGTGACGTGTCCTGCATCAGATAGTGAAAGGCTCCCTCTGTTGGACTCTCTGCCTGTGTGACGTGTCCTGCATCAGATAGTGAAAGGCTCCCTCTGTTGGACTCTCATGTGTTTTTATTGTTTCAGAGGAAATGAGGAGTGAAATAACAGAAGATGCCTGCATGTGTGAAGCACAGATTGTTTTCCAGAGAAAGGTGCAGTCGGCCATTCAGGAGCTCACAACTAAACATATCCTTTCTAGAATTCACAGGATTTTACTATTTAATGCAACTTTTTCCTAAGTTTCGATTATATTATATTTTGCATTAAAGTAGCACTTCTTTACAGTGAATCTAAGAATTTCCTTGACTGTTTGCTCACTCGCTGAACTTTCAGACAAAGTGACGGACATTGAAGGTGAATTTCAGCGTTGAGAACAAAGATGGAGGAAAAACGTCGGCACTTTTATTACAGTCAGGATTCCATAAAAGTAGTAAATAATTATATTTCTTTATGATGATGTAAATAAAAAATCAGCTTAGTGCTTCTTATTAATACAAACTGGTGCTGTTTTTCCTTTATACCTCTATTGACAGGAACTCTAGCATTATTACACGTTAAATACGTCACCTAAAGAATATTGTAAGTGTTTATCCCTGCTTATATAATCAAATTAAAAGTTATATAATTCAGCTTGTTTGCCAAAAGCTGTTTTTTTTTTTTTTTTTGCTGCTTGATTAAATTGTTCAGGGAGTTCAAGATTTGGACGAGCTTTTTTTTCTAGCTTTTAATGATGGATTATTTTAAGCTAAAGGTTGTAAGATTTTGTCACTTCTGCTGAACAAACACTTGTTTGTTTCATTTTCTGTCTGTTTTTTTATTTGCATGTCCTATTTTGGTGCTTTTTGAGATTAAAAAACATTAGTCATCACATGTTTTTAATATAAATGGCTTAAAAAATAAATGTTTATGAATCAACGTTTACTATGCGTCTGTCTTCAGTCTGATTAAAACTCTATATCAATAACAGCTAAAATGTTTTTATTCATACTATTTTATAGAATAGATGAAGTTATTATTCACATAGAACTTTTCCATATTGAGGCACATTCCAAGTAAAATACTTGATCTTATTTGCTAGGATTAAAATGATAGACAAACAAAGCAGCAAAAGTGGATTTTATTGTTTACATTTAACAACCGGAAAATTCTTAAAAGCATTCGAATTCAGTTTCTATATCTTTTATTCCTCCATGATTAAATAAAAGGCAGCCAACTGCCCTCATGTGTTACTTAACTACCGTAGTAAATATAGTCTAAAGATTGCATGATTTAAGCTCAGTTTAAATCCAGTAAATCCATCACAAAGATCAAGGAACACAGCAGGCAGATGTGGGAAATATAAAGTCATTTAAAGCAAGGTTATGTTATAACATTGCAGAAGTTGTTGACTCTATTAAAAGGGAGTGGTCTAAACTGTTTGTGCTCTCCTCATATCCTTCATCATGAAGAAGTGACTAAGAACGCGACGGTCAGGTCATATTGAGAACACAGCAAACATCCAGGCAGATGGAAGCACAAAATACTATGTGTGACAGACACTCAACACACAAGTTAGTGACAGGCGCTGGTGGTGGCAGCATCATACTATGGGAATCATTTCCCTCAAGAGTGACTGGGAAAATAGACTCAACTATAAAAATAAACACATGTAATCCTGACAAAAAAAGCAAGAAGAAGCAAATGAGAATGGGTTATTTACCTTCCAGCTAGAGAAAAACCCTACAGAAAATCATACAGTCATAATTATACCTGAAGAGTTTTGTGCTCTAATCAATGTCCACGCCTACATTAGTAAAGTTAGAGCCTGTGTTGCCGGGTAAAGACACCCTCTATAATGTCTGGGTTAGCTTGTGCTTGTTTTCAGAGTGTAAAACTTCAATATCTAGCTGCGTACAGCTCTTAGAGACATACAACAAAAACACTTACCTCTGGTATCATTGCATAGGATGGCAGCTGTACAAAAATTAATACATCCACAACTCAATATAAAATTCATTTCAAAAATAAAAAAATATTTGTATTTTTTTATTTTCCTTTCACCACTATATGTAGGCCTAACAAATAAAAGCACCAACATGACATTAAAAACTGGGTCTGTAAGATCAGGAAAAAGCCTAGTTTTTATGGACAGTGTAAATTGTTACGTGTTATATGTTTGTTTTTGTTTTTTTTACATAATACTAAGATGTATTTATTCTTTGTTTCTTCTTTATCAGTAAGAAATAGCATGGCAAAATGTCTCTCTAATGTAATACTGCAGTTGTTCTGTTTATTGAAATGTAATGTTCTGGAGCAGGGGTCACCATAGTGGTGCCCGCGGGCACCAAGGGGCCCTCAAGGACCACATGGGGTGTCCTCACAATTTCTGAATGACTCACAATTGGACTAAGTTTGAAATGTTGAACTGCTACTCCTATTTTTTATTATCTATAGAGCATTTTATCATATCAATCATTTAGAACATTTAAGCATTTACAGGGATTTCAAAATGACAATATCTAAAAGCAAATCAGAAATGAAAAGAAATATTGGAAATATGTTTATTATCTTTGTTAAAGATAGGCTCTGTGTGTTTGCACCTTGCAGCTCTTTCTCTTTGGTTCTTTTTTCTAAAAAGATCAGTCGGGAAAAACTCTTTAAATAACACCTCATCACTTATATGTATTAAATAACCAGGAGACATGACAGATTCTGATAGAAATTATAATCTCACTCAGATCAGAGAAGTTGCTCAGAGTTACAGAAGGCAGCTGCACCCCCCCGGGCTCACCTCTCAGGAAGTGAATCGACAGTTAAAGACTCATTTTAAACATCTCCAGTCTGCCAGATCGTCACATTTTACATCCAACATGTCAGCAGATGAGGAGACATCCATGGCTCCAGCCTTATCAAAATATTAAACATTGTTCTCATTCCATTTCCAAATCTTTACCGCGTACAGAATGAAGATTATAACTGTATATAGAGGAACTGTGTTAATTAAACATCCGTTCTGACGCGCAACAGGCAGCTAATATTAAGGTGTAATAAACTCACACATCATCAGTGATAATTATCCTAACGTCTATAGAGTTTAGTTGAAAGCTGATCCCATCCTTTGACACGACAGAAGCCTTCAGTCTTAAAAAGGTTGGTGACCCGGTTCTGGAGTTTTACTTCTAACTTTAAACAATTGAAATGGTGTAATTTATTTTTCTTTTCTTTTTTGCCAATCAAACTTTATAGTTTTGATCTGATGATAAAACTAGAAACAAAAATGCATTAAAAAATCTTCTTTGTTTTTTGTTTCCTGAAACGGAAAATAAAATTACAATAATTTTTCAAATTTTCCTTTTCACTTTTGGACAATGAAAAAGAAAAACGCTTTGAATTTCAATTTTCTTTTTTTGCATTTTAAAACAAAAACAAATCGCCATTTTTTTATTTATCCCCGATATTTCTTTCTTTTATTTATTTATCGTTCTTTATCTGTTTTTTTTGTTTGTTTTTTGTTTGTTTTTTAAGTAAAAATCAAATTAAATGGCATTTCAATGAGCTTGCCGCTGAAATATTACAAGACAAAACTACAACTACCAGAGGCACCAAGCACTTCCGGTTTACGGTTACCATGGAGACGCATGGAAGCTAAAGCCTTTGCAGTTCACCCATTAAAAGCAGGAGAACTTGTTCTGTGAAACATTTAGATCGCTTCAGCCATCCTTATTCGCCTAATGGCGCCGATAGAGATTTAGAAACACAGGATTTAAAATATAGAAAAGTTTATTCTTTTGTTTTCAGGTCATCTTCGATAGCCGTGCTAAGCTAACGGTTTAGGCTAAGCTTTCAAAGCCACGCGACAAACGTTAGCTTGTTTTAAAGGGTTTTATTTCCTCTGATATCTTTGTTTATATGTTAGATGCGTCTTTATTTTTCTATAAATCACCATGTTCATCTACCTCAGCAAGAAGGTGAGCATTTCTGACCTTAACGAGTCGTTTCAATCCATGTTTGGGGGGAATAATGTGGTTTTTCCGTGTTGTTTAGATCGCTATTCCTAACAACATCCAGCTGAGATGCGTCTCCTGGAACAAACAGCAGGGATTCATCTCCTGTGGAGGAGAAGAAGGTCTGCTGAGGGTGTTAAAGCTGGAGACACAGACAGGCAAGCACAGCTTTACATCCTGATTATTAAAACAATCCAATGCTGCTGTGTTTCTATGTACTGTTTTACCTACAGTGTTAATGTATAGTATTGTTAATTATATCTATGGATCTATATCTATATCTATCATCTCAAGGGGCTGACCCTGAAATAAACAAGAATAAAAAGCTGCTTTTGTTTTTGTTTTCTAAGCTTTTCCTCCTATTTCTTAATAGAGTTGGAAAAATCACAGAAAAGTTGGGGCTTAAAATCAGAAAGGAAGAACATTTCTAACAATACAAAAGCATTTTAGGTTCAAAGATTATAAAGAAACAGTTATTTAGGAAATATCATAAACACCATGCTGTTGTCAAGCGGAGGAAAAGCTTTGCTTGAATTTTGTGCATTAAAAAGTTGATCTTCCTCGCCAGTTTACAGAAGATGATGTTTGCAACCTACAAATAAACAGAAGAAAAATACACATCATGAAGCTAAAGGAACCAACCAATTAAAATAGGGATAAAAATGTTTGGTCATAAATTATCCAAAGCTGTGAACATTTCTGATCTGTGATGTGAAAGGTAAACGTCTTAAACAACTGCAGTTCTATTAGATAATGAGGGTTAAAAAAAAGTGATAACCTTTTAAGACCCACATAGATCTACAGCTCTGATAGAAATATGTAAACTGGGCTCTCAGTCCTGCATTCTACCTATCTGACCTCTAATATGTAAGAAAACCAAGTCAAGACATTTCAGCAGCAAGGCAGTTTAAATTGCTTTACATGATAAAAATATCCGAACAAATGTGCAGTAGAATCATTAAAACATCAAACTAATACACAGAAAAACATCAGAATCATAAAAATCATTAAAAACACAGATTGAAAGCCAAAGAGTTTGAAAATGAACAGAAATAACCTGAAAACACCCTACTTACTGTAAAAATATGTGGTAGCTGTATTAACCCCTAGAACCCGACGGACCCACCGGCGGGTCCAGCTGCTACATGACCTCGTAATTTTACCAAACCCCCAGTATTGATGTAAAAAACACATTTGGCACAGTTTGGTGACATTTATGGATAAATGTGCCAAAATGGCCTCTCCGCCTAAGAAATTTCTCACTAATACCATTCTAAAATAAATATGATTCATCTGATTAAGTCCAAATTTGGTATATTTTTACACAACATTTAGATTTAAAAGTCTGTACTACTTTTTTGTGCTATAAATAATATTTTGGTAGTGTTTTGCAATGTTTATTTCAAAGAAAATTTTGGCGAGGTTCAAAAAATGCAAAATATTTTGTATTTTGTCCCTAATATTTCAGGCAGGGTCAAAGCTACAATGGTGCTGACACCAGAAAACCATTCTATGACATCTTACCTTTACAGACGTACCAAAAGTTTCTTCTTAAATCTAATAGCTTTGAGGCTATAAGTTATTTACTTTTGTGTGTTTTTGTCAGGCAGAAATTTATTTATACCCCCTTAGGGTGTAAGAGGTTAAGCAGAAGTTTATAGATAATACAGGACAGAATTTCACTTTATACAAAATGTAGAAAATACTGAGAAGGTATGAATACATTTACACTTTAAATATATCAAAAATAAAGTTGACATGATAGCCTCAGACCTCCTTTATAAACCTGTTGTAATGGTTGAAAGGATTAATGTGCTTTTTGCATCAGTGTATTTCCTGCCTCCTAAACTGTTACTTAACATTAGTGTGACTGAGATTAAAGGGCAGCTAAAACAAAAGGCATCACAGTTTGAAATAAATCTGCTGAAACTTTAATAGGTTTAGCTCGGGCCCCTCAGGGTACCGTCGCTATAAGCAGAGGTGGTACCACCAGGCCTGCAGCTGTGGCGTAGATGATGAACGCAGTAGAGAGCAGATCAGAAATGCTGCTTTAAAATAGCAGAATATCTATATTGAAAGGAGAGATTGATTGAATATAGTCAGTTGCACATAATATATCCTCTAATAATATAATAGAGCAGAATCCACCTTTACTGTCACATAAGTTCTCATGGATTTGAATTAAAGTGGTTTAAGAGTTACAACTTAGAGATTACATTTTGTAATCTTGTGATTATAGAAACAAAAGTGTATCGAATTCTTGAACCGCTGAAATATTTGCAAATTGCTTCGTTTTTCCTAATGCTGTGCAACTCACAACAGAGAAATGATCAATTAATAAATGTTTTTCTGTTCAGATGACTCTAGACTGAAAGGTCTCGCTGCACCAAGCAACCTGTCCATGAATCAGACTTTAGAAGGACACAGCGGTGAGTGTTATCAGAGAACTGGATCATTAAATGAATGTGATGGAAAACAAAATAAATCCTCCCTTACAAACATTTATAGGGTCATTTTTCCAGCTGTGGCTCTGTTAGAGTCTAGCCTCTTTCAAGACATTAAATCTAATATATCTCATAAAAGATGCTTTCATTCATTCAAGTTGTTTTTATACTTTCTGTTCTAATATTTTAGCTTTTCCCTGAATAGGAACGTTTTTCTGTGTTTATGTTTTGCTTCCTGATCCCTTTTGTTGTTGGTTGAGCATTTAGTAACGCATCATTTATTCTGTTGGATGTTAACTGATTACACTTAACAATTTCATATACGGAAAAATCACAGCACATTCATTCCTTTGATTTTATGAGAATTTGAGCTCAGAAGTGATTTGATGAATTAGCTGTGATTGAAAGATGTGGCGCTTAAAAAGTTCATCCATCTGTTTGGTCTAATTCGTATTTAAATAGGGACTAATCTCCATGTAACGCATAAAGGAAAAAACATTTTAAGGTTTAACAGAATTTATTCCAATCAAATATAACAGAGAAACTGATAATGAGCAAATCATCTGAGAAACTTTTCCTATACCTGAAGTTTAGTTCTCCTCCATCAGCTGAAGGAAAGAGACCAACTAACCGGGTTTTCACCCCCTTATATACTTTAACCGCACCTCCTTAGGCTCCATCAGCCCCCCCCAACGGCAAGGACTGCAGCTTCCTGGTCTTCACCCCACCATCACATGATGTCTATATAAGCAAACAGAAAACAGAGCAGCTTACGTCTAACAGTATAAAGCTCATCTCTAATACATCTGAGGATAAAAAGGTTTCTATTGGAAATTCGCTTCTTTCAGCATCTTTGCTAAATCAGATCAATCTTTCTCTTTGGTTCAATCAATTAAATATATTTGGGATTCAATGTATAATTGTTTTATCTTGAATGTTTTGTTTATGTTTTTTAACCTCATACCTCCTGCATCCCCCAAACATATGAGGAGTCACATGGAGATCATTTGCGCTGCAATTAAAGATTATATTGCAAATCGATTAATCTGTCGATAAAATAATCGGATAGCCAAAGGCCCCTTAAAGAACATTTTTTACGAAATTAAAACAGGTGAAACCAAAACTTTTCCACTTGAGAAGTTCTGCATAGAGACTCTTGACAAACCTTTTTTTTTTTATCTTAAATGCAAAATGTTTATATATTTTTTTTACAAACTTGGCATAATTGCTGCTCTAAGTGGCTCTGTCCACTAAAGGCGTGTTTTGGACTCTCCAAACTTCAGTTAACATTTAATGGCTTACTAAATGATTTGATTATTTCAATAATCAATCAGATAAATAGTTTCAGCTTTAGAGATAATCTTCATTCTTCATCCAGGAGCCGTTCAGGTAGTGACCTGGAATGAACAGTATGAGAAACTGACAACCAGTGACCAGAATGGACTCATCATTGTGTGGATGCTGTACAAAGGTGAGGAAAGCAGCTAGTCTGAGGTCTAATCTAGCTTTGTAATGAAGTCATCATGTTTAGTTGAACATGTGTGTTCATAGGTGCGTGGTACGAGGAGATGATCAACAACAGGAACAAATCAGTGGTGAGGAGCATGAGCTGGAATGCTGATGGGCAGAAGATCTGCATTGTTTATGAAGATGGAGCCGTCATCGTTGGATCAGTAGACGGTACAGTTACCTTTAGAGAGAGCAGCATTAGAGCTGTCAGAGCCACCTTTTATAATTGATTTTCATTAATTAATGATATTTTTTTATTAATGGAAACCAACATGTTCGGCACTAATCTTTCACTGTGTTTGCAGGCAACCGAATTTGGGGGAAGGAGCTGAAGGGGAGTCAGCTCGCTCACGTTGCTTGGTCACCTGACAGTAAAATCCTTCTGTTTGGCATGGCCAACGGCGAAGTTCACATTTATGACAATCAAGGAAACTTTATAGTGAGTATTTCATGAAATCAGGCCCCTCTGAACTCAACAACCTTCAGGTTTTTATGTTGTCATGAAAAAACTTCAATAAATAACATCTGTTACTATCTTTTAAATGACATGTGACATTTTGAAATGTTTTTCATTATAAACCTGCTGATTAGATTCATAGTGAACCTTTTGTTCCCTGGAAATGTCTCTAAATGTTTGCATGCTGTGACCTTCAGGTGAAAATGACCATCAGCTGTCTCAGCGGGGCAACCGGAGCTGTGAGCATCGCTGGAATCCACTGGTATGCAGGAGCCGGGGGTTACGTGGAGCCAGACTGTCCGTGCCTCGCCATCTGTTTCGACAACGGATGCTGTCAGATCATGCGCTACGAGAACGATGAGCGTGAGCAACGGAAAACCGCTTCATTTCCGTCATTACTTGGTTTATGATGAAAAGCAGCCAGCTGACTCTGCGTAATCTTCCTGCAGAGCCGGTGTACTTTGACACGCTGATGAATGTGATCAGCATCCAGTGGAACCACTGTGGCAGCGTGCTGGCGGTGGCAGGTTCCCTCAGAGCTGCAAATATGGAGAAAGAACTCAACGTGGTTCAGTTCTACACACCCTTTGGTGAGGTGAGATTTTTAAGGATGTTTTCATTACTTCAACTTACAGTCAGCAGTATTATCATTCAAAAAACACATTTATTTGCACACTGTCTTTGGTGGTTGCTTGTTTGCAGCATCTTAGGACTCTGAAAGTCCCTGGGAAGCACATGTCTGGGATCTCATGGGAGGGTGGAGGCCTGCGAATCGCCCTGGCTGTGGACTCTTACATCTACTTTGCCAACATAAGACCAGATTATAAAGTAAAAACAGATGCTTTAATTATACTGCCAGATGTTTTTGGTTCCATCTCTAGTTATTTTTAAGACTTGTCCTTGTGTCCCACCAGTGGGGCTACTGCTGTAGCACGGTGGTGTATGCCTACACAAAGCCAGAGCAGCAGGAGTACTGTGTCGTTTTCTGGGACACCAAAAACAATGAGAAGTTTGTAAAAACTGTCAAGAGCTTGATGTCTATCACTACCTGTGGAGACTTCTGCATCCTGGCCAGCAAGGCAGATGAAATGCAGCCTCAGGTAATAAAGAAATAAGATATTAGCTTTACTAATGCTTTATAAGCCCATTCAGCTTCACTGAACTATTTAATGTTAAGAAATTGAAACAGAATCTTTTTTTTATGATATACAGGATGATCTGGGGTTTGAAACTAGGGGTCCTGCGAGGGTAATGCTAAATTTTAAAATCTGCCAAATAATTGTGTTTTCTTGGTATAAAATTCCTAAATTGACCTTCTGTGTATTTTACAGTTTATCCTGATGCTCTGCAATTCCATTGGCACTCCTCTGGACTCCAAATACATTGATATTGGTTAGTTATGATCATTTTCCCCAGTATGAAAAAATGTGCTTTGCAAATGCAAGACTGAAAAATAAAAAATAAAAATTAGGAATATTTTGAAATTAGATCTTAATTATAATAAAAATATGTTGCTGAATATCCTCAGTGATAAGGAAAAGATCGTGTGTTAGCTTAGCATAGCAGGGAATCTCTGAGCTCCTGGAGAGTCTGAGTGAAACCTGGTGTCATCAGATGGACAGAGACGCCATGTCCAAAAGGTCCTATTGGATTCTGGTCACAGGACAGGGTTTCTGCACGTCATTAAAAATCATTAACTTAAAGTTAGTCATTCCTGTATAAACCCTGCAGGAACCTGAAGGTTAGTCAGTGTTATCAGTTCCTTTATGTTCCAGGAACACGCTGAACTCAGGCCAAACATTACCATGAAATCTCACAAATATAGACCTTTTCTTTTTAGATTTGTTTTGCTAGCTCTTCATTATGAGATAGAAGGAAAAGGATATATGGTGTCCAGATTGTTTTACAGAATGAATGGGCTGCTAATCATCTGTATCCTGCTCCCTTCACTGGACACCTAGAACCCCATTTTGTTTCACTATCAGTAAAAGTCAGTGATTTCCCATCAAGAGGCTAAAGTTACAGCCTGATCTGCTAAATAGGTTATGTTCAGTTAGATGTCTACCTGCCAGTTTAGCCACAGATTCCAATAAAGAATTGGTCTGGACTTTAACTGGGACAGTTTGATGCTACATCTACTGGAAGGTGAAACTAGACTCGTGGGTTTCTTTCATCTTCTTCCTTTCCTCTTACCGTTCTTCCATAAATCTCAGGATGACTGCTCTCTTCCCATTTTTAAATGATGGAATAAACATTCATCTATGAAGATGGCATTCTGATTGAAACCTCTCCATGTGTCTGATGTAGTCCATGGTTTTACTGATGCTGTTTGTCCACATGTTCTCTAACAAAGCTGAGTTCTTATACTGAGATCAATCAAACAGAAATGGCCTTCATTGGGGATTTGATTGTGATTGATTTTATTTTCTGTTATCATCCTCCTTGCATTTGTTCATTTAATAAAATCCCCATAAAACACATTTTATATACCTGAATATGGAAGAAAAAAAATCCAGAGGCATTAGTTCTTATCCATGGCAACGCAGCCCTCGTACTGATGTGTTTCATTAACATCATCCATAATTTAGTAGCTCAGATTAAAGGGCATAAACATTGTATTCTGTGCTCTTTATCTATAATTCAAGCTATTTAGACACATAATGTGGAAAAGAATATGTAACATTTACCACAAATAAATGTCTTTCCAAGCTGCATACAGACGTTGTTCTCTCTCTCTGGTTAGATCCGCTGTTTGTTACCATGACGAGGACACATGTCATTGCTGCATCCAAAGAGGCCTTCTATTTGTGGCAGTACAGAGTGGCAAAGAAGCTGACTGCCCTGGAGATCAACCAGGTGACCAGAACCAGGAAGGGCGGCAGGGAGAGGTGAGCCCAGACACGTCTGTAGCATTTACACCCATGAGCTGTTTTCATAAAACCCACCTGAGGATTCAAACAAACGTAGCACTGAAGAGTAGAGTCACAGCAGTGTTACATTCTGCTTTACTGGCTCATCATTACAGTGTAAAGAGTTGGCCCCTGAGTGCAATGAAAAGGATTCATTCATTCAGGAAATGCCACTCAGGGTCCAGACAGTATGGGTGTGTTTCAATGCTCTGCCAGTACTGGCAGCACAGCGGCACCGAAGATCACACCCGCTGAACCACAGATGCTTGTCTGTTGTTTTTTCCTTCTCTCTCATGTGCCCAGTTTCCTCTCTCTGCAGGTTCTATCACATAGACAGCAGTCCATCTGGAGCCAGCGATGAGGGCTCCGATTACTCTAAAGCCTTCGCAGTAAGATATAGAAGCTTGCCCTCCTGTAATTGAAAAACTTTGAATAGAAGTTTCAGTTCCTCAGAGTACTTACATTATACAAAAAGGATTTCAAAATAAAAGCTTCCTTTATATGTCAAGATGCCAGAAAGACATTAAAGGGATTTTAATTATGTAGTTAGCATGGTAGGGCAAATAAGAAAGATATAACTGCGAAGTAGGAGGTATTTTACTTTTCTTTTGCGTTTTTACAGACAACTCGAGATCCTATCTGCTGCATTACAGCAACAGATGAAGCTCTGGTGGTGGTGGGTACCTTTCTAAATAAGACCTCATCACTCCATTTAACTTGCTAGAGTGCCGTGCTGTTGGTTTACTTGTTTTTTTCTCTGATTTACGTTGATAAACGGCATCTTTTTAAGGCAGCGTTTGTGGTTACAGGCTCGTGAGTCCGGCATCATCCACAAATACAGCCTTCCAAATGTCACCCTCATCCAGAAGTATTCCTCGAACAACAGAGCCCATTATCTGTCTATAAACTGTAACTCCAGGTAGTCACTGGCCTTGATGTGTTTTTATGACCATGTCAGAGAAATGTTGTATTTCGGATTAAAATTCCCATTATTCATGATCTTCTTCAGTCGCCTGGCCATCATTGACATCTCAGGCTTGCTGACTCTGTTGGAATTGGAAGTTCGTTCTGCAACAGATGAAGAGACAGGAAACAAAGCAGCAGGAGATCTGTCCAAGTTTGAGCGTAAAGATGTCTGGGACATGAAGTGGGCAAATGACAATCCAGATTTGTTTGCTACGATGGAGAAAACCAGGATGTATGTGTTCAGGAACCTTGATCCAGAGGTGAGTTTTCAGGAGTGATCTGAGCGCTGATGAAGGATACGCCTGTGTGATTCCTTCTCTTGATCTGTACTAAACAGGAACCCATTCAAACATCTGGATACATCTGCAACTTTGAGGATTTGGAAATCAAATCGGTTTTACTCGATGAAATTATGAAGGTAAACCTTCAAGATTGTGATGGTTTAAAATCCACTTTTAATTCTTTTAAAGTTTGATGGCATATATTAACTTCAGTTGAGGTCATACGTTTATTTTCTTCTTATTTGTGTGAATTTAAGTGTAATGATTATAAACACACATTCCTTTCCAAACAATTTAACACTTAAATTAAAACTCTGGAACATTAAAGTTCCCATCCATCCAGCTTAATGAGGTCATCAGATGTTTCTCTGCAGGATCCAGAGCGGCCAAACAAAGACAACCTCATCAATTTTGAAATCCGCTCCCTGAGAGACAGCCGAGCTCTTATTGAGAAAGTGGGCATTAAAGACGCTTCGCAGTTCATCAAGGACAATCCTCACCCAAGACTCTGGTAAGTTCCTGGAGGCAGGGTTTCAGAGCAGATAACAAGTACAAATAGATTTTTTGGGGGGCAGAGAAGTAGATGAACGCTTGAATCTGGGTTCTGTACAGAGAAAAGATTGTCTAGCATTAATGTAAACAGAAAAATCCTGATCATACTAAGCCTTTTAACGTTCCTTTTAGCTTTCCAAAAGAAAGTTCTGGCTCCCATCTACAAACAGGGATATGTTAGCATAGAATGACCATGAAGACTATCAGAGATTTCTCCCAGTGTGATCTCTGGCCTAGGTGTCAGTTCTTACAGGATCCCTCAAAACTTGGCTTTAACAACAAAACCGATCTTTCAAATTTATCAGTCCATATCTGTAATTTAATAGCAAAAAGCTTCATCATCAGCTAGTGGGTTATTCCATCAAAGAGTCATTTCACAAAGTTTTGATTCCTTTTAACTTGGACTCAGACTTTATGATGTGATTTGTTGGTGCAATTTGGATAAATGATGAGGAAACAGAATTGAATCTGATTCCAAACGCTTCATGTCATTCAGCCATGATCTTTGATAATCTGTTTCACTGTTAACGCTGCAGGCACCTGCTGGCTGAGGCAGCCCTACAGAAACTGGATCTGAAGACGGCCGAGGAGGCTTTCGTCCGCTGCAAAGACTACCCGGGTATTCAGTTTGTCAAGCGTCTGGCCAACCTGCAGAGCGAGCCCATGAAGCAAGCCGATGTGGCAGCTTACTTTGGCAAATTTGAGGAAGCTGAAAGCATGTATCTGCAGATGGATAGAAGGTAGAAATGATTGACTTTCTCTCAGTCTCTTAGCGTTTGGATGGTAATTGATTGGTGATTGTGGCTGTCTCTAAAGGGACCTCGCCATTAATCTAAGGATCAAGCTAGGAGACTGGTTTAAGGTTCAGCAGCTACTTAAAAGTGGTTCTGGGGACTGTGATGATGCTCTGCTCCAACAGGCCTATAACGGAATCGGAGACTACTACGCTGACAGACAGAAGTGGTAATTATTTTCAGACATGATCACTCTCTGTTTGCTGTAGTTCTATTTGTTACATAGAAGCAATTACTAAACGCCTTCTAAAGTGAATATTTACCTCCAAACCTCTTTAATTTTAAATCAGTTGTGTTAAGGCTTGTGGGTAATTTGATTGTATTGATTTTCATGTTCAAAAACTTAGGAATACATTTAAAAAACTTTTGACCTATTAAGCAAAGAGTAATAGCACCATCATCTGAATCCAAAACCTGAGACAGATACAGTCAAGGTGTATATTTGTTCACTATAGGTGTGGCAGTCAGCAGACCTATTGTCTAGGTTCAGTAGATAGAAGGTCACCAAACCTTAATGAACTCTCATTCCTAAAACACTCCAATTCTGATAGCATGTAGACAGATGTTGACTCAGTGCAGACCAGCATTATTACTAGTGTTGCACTGATACCAGTATGGGGCGGGGCCCCGATCCAGCACTAAAATGGTGGAATCGGCATCAGTGAGTACCAACCAATAGAGCATCGATACCATTCTGAAAGCCAAAAGTTTCTTCAACTATTGTCACCCATTCCAGGTAGGCAATAAAAAGTTCTACTGGATTCACTTTGTTTTAGTCTTTTTCCTGCTTCACAAAGGAAGGCAGCAACTTGAAGCCATGATGGTGATTATTTTACATCCCAGTAGTCTGCAGTTGTTCATAGATACACAGAGATCAATTTCAAACAGGTGGTATCGGCCGATGCTGCACTGCCAGGTATCGGGGCCAAAAAATGGCATCGGTGCAACACGTAATTTTTACCCAGATTTTTACTGACAATTACAATATATCTAACTAACTAAGCACACACTATACCAGGTTATATTAGTGAGCCATGAAGCCATTTTGCCAAACTCACTGTTTTGCTAATAATCAGTCCGTATTATTCTCATATCCAAATTAAAGTGGTGTTCCGGCCAAAACCTTCCTCCAAGTACAGATTAGTTCCCCACAAAATTCTTATTTGATGCTAAATATTCAAGCTAATGCTTTAGGTCTGGTGATGAAAGATAAGTTTAAAAATGCTGATATACAACAACACAGTGACTAAACTCAGTCTATCCTCTATTCATTTTAGAAAGAACAAAAAACAGCATGATGCTAACAGCTAATTGTTGCTGTTTGACATGCAGCAGGGATTTTTTTCAAAGATGGTATTTATCATGAATAAAATCAGAGGACATCAGTTGATGCACTGGAAGAATTATTTCCTCCACTGAAAACCATTATTTCTGTAAACAACTATATTGTTTCAATGGTCTGGCTGTTGACTGCCCACCCAACCAATTCCTTGCACTGTTATGAAATACAAGATGTGTCATAATCTGGGGTCAGAAAGTGTTTTCAGCAGAAGGAATGTTTTTAGTGGATGAGGAAAACGGGAACCTTTTTCACTTCCCCAGAGCTAATCCCCCCCCTGGTTATGTCTCTGGTTCTCAAATATAAGATGAAACCTTTCGAGACTCTATGTTGTAGTCAAGTCCTAACAAACGCAACTTTCGTTCGAAGTTTTGTGGTTTCACAGATCACCAGTTGCTCCAAAAAGTTTCCCTTTTTTTGGTTGTTTTTATTATTATATAATTAGATTCAAATACATCAGTGATGCTTAATTGAATTCAAAGATATTTTGTCAAAGGAAACTTTTAAAGAAATGGGGAAGACAGGTTGATTCTGAGAATGGACAGCTGCAGATGAGAGGAGGCCAACAGTTTACCCTCTGTTTGGAGGAAATGTTCATGTTCATTGTTCTCACCTTTAAACATCCTCCTTTAAGGGGGGAAGCAGTTCGATCCTACCGCATGGGCCGAAACCAGGAAAGGTTAGCAGACTGCTACTACAGGCTGGAAGACTATGACAGCCTTGAGCAGCTAGCCGCGGATCTCCCTGAAAATCACAAACTGTTAGCAGTACGTCACAGAGAGACACCCGTTCTTTATGACATTTACTGGCGTTTAGCAGAATTGCTCAATTGATGCAGCTCTGCTTTTACTGCCCATCTGTAGGAAATCGGACAGATGTTTGTCACCGTGGGAATGTGTGAGCAGGCTGTGAAGGCCTACCTTAAATGCAACCAGCCAAAAGCAGCAGTGGACACATGCGTCCATCTGAACCAGGTGAGAAGTCGAGAACTTTGGCGCCGCAGTTTCTGAGTGACGCATGGATCCTACATCAGCAGCCAGCCTGGCTGCTCCTGCCCACCCAGCCTCTGGGTTTTAGCTCTGCAGTGTGAACGTCTATGTTTTTCTCACAATGTTAAACAAACTAGTCTTTTGTTGCCATGAACATGATCTCAACTCTCTCCTAATAACCGTCATGCTGCCCCACTTTTATAGAGCTCAAGCTTTTTCATTCAATTCTTGTAATTATAAGTAGGCTTTAAAGAAGTGTTTATTTTTCCAATGAATGTCTTTGATTATAGAATTGAATTACAATCAAAAGCTCTTCCTCTTTATTGAATGTTTTTTTGTTAGTGGAACAAAGCCGTGGAACTGGCGAGGGCCCACAACATGAAGGAGATCAAATCAATTCTTTCCAAACGCGCCTCTCATCTTCTAGAGGAAAATAAAACTCTGGAAGCAGTGGAACTTTACCGGAAGGCTCACCACTTCCTTGATGCAGCCAAACTCATGTTTAAGGTAAGCTTAAGATGTTATCTTTACAGCAAAAGGTTTGTTTGTTTTTTAAAGTTTTTGTTTTTTTTACACATTAAATAATCTATACTGTTTTATATATTCGGCTCCCCAGAGTTAAACTAAAATAAAAAGGCTGAAAGGATTTGGCCAAATGACACACTGGTCTGTTAAACAACGGATATTTATTTTTTGTTTCAACTCTTTTACTCTGTTTCAGCAGGATGATTCAGACTTTGCATGATTTTCTTTTTACATTGAATAAAACTGTTAAATTTATTTTTATTTTTTGACCGGCTTAAGCTGGTCTCAGGTGCTCCAGTCTGTCTGCAGCCTGAGCTTCTACACAGAACAAAAGACGTCATGTGACGTTTTTAAACCTCAAACCTTGAATATATGAGTGTGATAGCAGCTTCTGTTTGCAGATAGCCGACGAAGAGACGAAGAAAATGAGCCGACCTCTGAGGGTGAAGAAGCTGTACGTTTTGGCAGCTCTGCTTGTTGAGGATTATCACGATCAGGTGAAGGCGTCTCAGCAGTCCAAAGCCAAAGGGAAGAAATCTGAGGTGATTGACTGAACTTTATCTCAACATTTAGTTTTTCTTTAACATAATGTTTTGGACCATCGGTGAGCTTTTTCAGCCTACTCATCCATGCATGATTGTGTTTTCTTAGGCTACATTCACACTCACTGGCCTCCTGGAGGAAGATGCTTTATCCCCAGAGAGTCGCATCATTGACAGCGCCTGGCGAGGAGCCGAGGCGTATCACTTCTTCCTGCTCGCTCAGAGACAGCTCCATGCCGGCTACGCAGAGAACGCCATGCGCACAGGTTCCAACAGTTTACAGTTATTACCACTTTTTGGGGGGGTGGAAATGTTAGCCATTAGCAATGGAAAAATTAGCAGAGATTTTATAGCCCACCTTTACTGTGGTGTTTCTAGCCTGACAGCCTGTACCCACTGTATGCTGGATTAACTGTTTTGGAAATGCAGAAATAATTTAATCGGCTGACAATATCAGGGAAAGACTGCATCAAAATATGTTTTCTGGTTTCTATTCTTATGTTATGATGTATAATATATCTGTACGTGTTATAATAAAGACAGGATTGTCTAATGCTTCTAGGTTATAATAACATCCTTACATGTGTGATTCTTGTAAATAACATTTATATGTCTAATTTTAATGAATTGATACTTTAGAAGTAATAAATAAAATGATCACCTTTATTTGTGATTATTTAACACGATGAAGCAGGACAGCTTCTACAGACTGAGCGCTAGCTTTGGTTTTATTTGAGTCTTCTGCCACCTAGTGGTCAAAAACCACAGTAACCAAATCCCTGCATGTTTCCTCATTCATCATAACTCAGCTGGTCTTAATCTTCCATGGTGTCTTATTTTCTGCCAATTTCAACAAACTGGATCTGATTAGATGACCTAAAGCAGGTAAATGGATCCAATAGGATTGACTGCAGGTGAGGTCAACGACCTGCCTGACGGATCACAGCTTCAACTTCTCTAACAACCACTGCAGTCGACTGTTAGCTCCTCAAACTTCAGACCTCTGAACAGATTATTTATTCCATCAACAGATATTTGAGTTTTAATTCAAATGAAGTTTTTTTTTCTCTAAATCACCTAAAGTATTTTTCTGATCATATTCTCAGAGAGCTAAAATTATAACTTTAGAGGGCGCTCAGTGAAATACTTTGAAAATCAAAATTTCAAGACAATAGTTTCATTGGAATCCAGAATAAAACCTTATTACCTTTGTAACATAAAAAAAAAATTATATTTTGATGGCAATAATTAATATCTATGTAATAACAAAAAACGCCAACCTGTCTGAATATATTCAGAAAAATAACAAAAGTTTTTCTATAAGATATCCATGAAAAGCACTCAGAGAAAGCAGGACTTTTTGGGGGTTTGATTTGTAAGGAAACACAGGAAGTGATCAAAAACAGTAACTTTTCCTCTAAAGGGTTAATGATGACTGGTTTCTACCGGACTGAGTTCTGTGTGTTTTTCCGTCTCGCAGCGCTTCACCTTCGTGAGTACGAGGATGTCATCCCTGCAGTTGAGATCTACTCCCTGCTGGCTCTTTGCTCTGCAGCCAACCGGGCCTTTGGGACCTGCTCAAAGGCCTTCATCAAGCTGGAATCTCTGGACAGCCTGAGCCCTGAACAGCAGCAGCTCTATGAGGATCTGGCCCTGCAGATTTTCACTAAACACCCTCCAAAGGACAGCCGCATGATGGAGGCCACAAGATTATCAGAAGGGTGAGAGCGCCACAGTGATCCGATCAAACCCTGACTCTCAGTAAACCAGTGTTAGCAATAAACCTTCTGCAGGAATCTCTAAGATTGTATTTAGGAGTTTATTTCTGGATGTTAACAATAAATCAGACCTTTTCTAGACTTTTATCTTCATTGCTGTGAATTTCCTGATATTCCTTTAGCCTGCTTTTCTTTTCTCCTTAGGTCTGAGGAGAAACTGCCCACTTGCATAGTAACGGGGCGTCCTATCCAGGAGTACCAGTTTTGGGTGTGCGGCGTGTGTAAACACTGCGCTCTGGAACATGAGATCAGGAAATACAGCTGCTGCCCGCTGTGCCACAGTACCGTAGCATGAAGAAGTTATTTCCTGTCAGGACTCTGATCCACGCAGCATAAAGGACGGTTTTAACTGATTTATTTTGTGCAAAGTGTCCATAAGAGGGTAAAATATGACAAGCAGCTTAATTTATCTTAAAAGCAGGAAATTTAGTCTTTAGCTTAATTTACTTTATGTCTCTTTACAGTTAAATGTATTTTAACATCAAACATGCTTCAATGTAACTTTTTATCTGCTTTTATAATAAATAAATTGTTTTCAATGTTTTAGAGAGCTTCTTTTCCTTTGGAGGAAGAGCTTAAGTGTTTCCTTCCTCACGCTAATTCTGCTAAACCTTTATTTATCCATTTCCTCCGTTTCTGTGAGATTTGAACATAAATCTTGCCGTCCAGGAGAGAAACGCAGGTATCTTTCTCTTCTTATCTCATTCTCTGCAATTCCAACATCCTTCCAGAAAAAAAAGATCAACAGGTTCATCTCAAAAAGTTAGAATATAGTAAAAAAACTTTGATATTTTTGTTGATCATTTCATATAGATTCATTTCACATAGATTGAAACATTTCTGATGGTTATGGCTACAGATTATGAAAACCATCCTTTTTTCAGGATATTTAAAGCTACAGTGTGTAACTTTTAGCGACATCTAGCGGTCAGACCGCAGCAACATGAACATCTCCCCCCCACCGCTTCTCCCCCCCAACAGCAAAGAAAACCTTACGGGACAAAATGTCTACCACGACGTCCGCACCACCTACCTTCTCAAGTGATGAGGTTTGTTTACATAGATAATTTTACAGATAGTATTTCATTAGTCTGTGTAGGGTATAGATTTCATGTAGACTTAAGATAATAAATATACCCGTTATTTTTTCTACATCGTTGTGACGTTTTAGCGATCTCGCAATCGCTAGTTTGTTGGCTCTGCGCTGCCGTAGCGCAAAGATGTCTGCCTCCATGGCTGCGAGACCCGCTCCTATGTAATTATAAATAACGAATTCTAAGGCAACGCAAAGATTAAGGTTAAGAGGCTGAGCTCGTAGATGATGATAAATAACAGTTATGTATAATATATTACATTTCTGACTGTATATCCTGTAATTATTACACTCTGTAGCTTTAAATATATTGCAAAAAAACTAAGAAAAAGGCCAACAGGAAACTATGAGATGGAGAAGAAAAAAATTACATCAAAAAACAGAATACAGGGTGAAAAATCAACTCAAGGTTTTTCACACTGCAGAAATATCCTTTGGTTTAGTAAAACAAAAGTTGAATTGTTTACCTGTAAGGAGGATCTTACAATTCAGTTCAGTTCTATTCAGTTTATTTCTATAGCTCCAATTCACATCATGTCATCTCACGACACTTTATAGTTCACCAGATCATCCAGTCAGATTGGTTCAGAGTTTTCTCTCTAAGGAAAACCAGCTGATTGCATCGACTCATTGACTCTTCAGCAATCCCTCACACTAAGCATGCTTCTAGCGACAGTGGAGAGGAAAAACTCCCTTTGAACAGGAAGAAACCTCCAGCAGAACCAGGCTCAGTGTGAGCGGCCATCTGCTGAGGCCCACTGGGGTTCAAGGAGACAGAAGCAGACATAGAAAAAGAAGCATAGATACAAAAGGCAACTGTCAACCAGCTCCACAGGCGGCCCCGTCCAGGAAACACACAGCCAGGCAGACGAGCTCCGAGCCAGCTCCCATGTCAGAGGATGAAGAGAGCACATCCAGTTAGTCACAGTCAGAGAAACAGGACTACACTGGAAAACAGGCCAAGCTCCAACATCTAGAAACAAAGGTGTTGATGGCAGCAGCACAGCTGATATTTCTCTCCAGGATGGAGTCACAGCCAAACAGGAACAGACCAGATGAAGCTACTATGAGAAAAAGCAGAGAGAGCAGAACATTAGAGATTGAACTAACAGATTCTGCAGAGTGGGAGAATAGAGATAGAATGAAGCAGAAACAAGCCTCAGGATGATGTATGGGGTGGCAGCGTCATGCTGTGGGAGTGAATTGCTGGTGAAATAGATGGCATCATGAGTAGAAAAGGACTAAACTAAAGATGCCCTTCATGATTTAGGAATTGGTCTAAAAACAACACTTCTGTAAACTAGTGGGAGAAAGATGTGAAAGGATTTCTCATTTGACCCAAATCCTAAAACAATATCAACTAGTAACTACTGTAGCCTGCTGTTTGTAAACTATGTGAATGTAGAATGTTTTTTTTCAACCACTATTAAATATATATATATTCTTTGTTTTCTGATTTTTTGTGATCTTAAAGAGGAAAAGCTGCATCTTTTTATGGTGTTTAAACATCTAGTTTCATCTTTTTTTCTGTGGCTTCATGGCTAAATAATCTTACCGTCTGTTTCTGACCCTCAAACTTTACCTTTTCCGCTCTTTCTTTGAACTTTTGACAACTTTAGGAATATTATAGTTTTTCGTTTGGAAATATTTAGGAGTGTTTCCTGACTTTGTGATAATTGTAAAGCTAAACTCTGTTCCAGTAAATGGGACAGTTATTGTTTTATATTAGCTTTAATGTTTTTGTGTGATGTTGTTTTCCTTCATAGTCACAGATTCTTATTGCATCCTTCCATCGAGACTCTAAAGGCTTTTACTGCCCTCCTATGTATATAATGTCTAAAGGTCTACTTCAAGCTCTGCTTCATATTCAAATCATTTCCAGTCATAAAATGTTATTAAATTTCTACTCATCGCTGAGTGTAACTCTCTTGCAGACTGTTTCTCTCCGATGCAATAGAAAACTATCATCTCTGTGTGATTCACCGTTAAGATAAATAAACAGACTACAGCAACTGCTAACTTTGAATGAAATAGAATAGTAAAGAAAAACTTTATTGTCTACTGTACACAATGACCACAGACCTTTGCCTTTGGCTCAGCGCATGTAATAAAATACATTTAAATGAAATTGTAAAAGAGTTCATGGGAGTCGCAGCAGCAGATTCACTTCATCGAGGGAAAGGAAGCAGAACAGACTGAGTGACATTCAGCTCCTTGAGGCCATAAAATCATTTCTGAACACATTTTTCTTTGCATAAGAAAGTCTGTATCTGTGCCGTGATGGAAGCTGAAAGTGAGGGGAGAGTGGATGGATGTCATCTGTGACCTTTGACTGACCCGATGCACCGCCTTACTGTAATGCTGAGACTAATGAATCTTATTGCCCTTTTTAACAACTCTGCCAATTTAAGCTTTGATTTTGGTAATTAAAGCATAACCCTAACCTAGAATGTTAAATGTCAGTAAACCCAGAATAACTAAATAATAAATAATAACTGAAATAAACCCTGGATAGGATGTGGTCACTGACCCCTCAGCTGGTGCAGCAGAAGGGGCCATTGCTGTGCTTTCTAGTAAACACAGTCAATATGTTAACTAAAAGTGAAAGAATCGTCCAAAATGACGCCTAAGTATATGAATGAGGTCACCTGCTCTACATCCTGATGCGGTTCAAACATCTCCAGTTTCCGTTGGCTGCTAACACGCATTTCTTTAGTTTTAGTTTAGTTTAACTGGAGATTAACGTTCTGAAACCACCGGTAGTTCAGAATGATCTGTAACCAATTAAAAACCAGCGAGAAAAAAGCAATCAGCAGAAAGTCTTCCTCTTAACAGATGATGTGCAGATTTTCCCCAAAGTGTAAACCAGTCACTGTAGGACATTCTTACACATCATTATGAGACGGTAGAAGTGTAGAAAATTACTATGACCTGAACAGAGAATAAATATTTAGTATTCATCCAGTTTAGAAGTCAGCAAACTATAAAATTCATGGTGGCCATTATTTTATTTTTTTTCCAGATCTATAAGACATACTTTATTTTAACTACTTAAAATAATTTTGTTTTTTTAATAAAGATGTCAAATGTCAAGAGTGAAGTTAACAGTCTTAAACTAAGCTCTTTTTCAGATAAACCTCTATTGCAAAGTAGTGTTTTACACATAAAAAGAATTTGCTCCACAAAAATAAAAAAAAACATACATTTAACTTAAATGTATTTGGAAATATATCATTTTGAATTAAAAGCTGCAAATT